CTAGTATCTGATGAGGAACTAACCTTTCTGTTTGCTGAGGACAACCTCTCTATGTATAACCTTCATGCTGTCCCCTCCCATCTTCAGCTGATTGCCCTTCTCACCACTCCCATTGTCTTTGGTCTTCAATCTCTCCCAATAGACAGGATCTTTTTCTCTTGTCTACAAAAATGCCCAAGTTTTCCCCATCCTTAAAAATCTCTCATTAGATTGATAATCATCAGCTGTCCTCTATATTTGTCCTTCCCTTCTCAGCTAAACTACTTTGAAAAGCCACATCTAATCAGTGCCTCTATTTCCTCACCTCTCAGTCTCTTCTAAAGCCTCTGAAATCTGGTTTCCAGCATCATCATTCAACTAAAACTGTTTGTTCCAGAGTTATGGATGATATCTTAATTGCCATATCTTATGACCTCAACACTCACCCATCTTGACCTTTCTGCACCATTTGTAACTGTGGACCAACTTTTCCATCTGGTAACTCTTTTTTTCATATTTTCATGAATCTTCTCTCTCTTGATTTACCCAGAGGCAGCTGGTGGCACAGTAGATTGAGACCTGGATCTGGAGATGGGAAGACCTGAGTTCAAATCTGTCTTCAGAAAATTCCTAGCTGTGTGACCCTGAGCAAGTCATTTCATCTTCGTTTGCCTCAGTTTCCTCAATTGGGTAATAATAGAGTAATAATAGCACCTATCTAATAACGTTGTTGTAAGGATCAAATGAGATATTTGTGGGAAAAAAATAGTATTTAGTACATAGTAGATGAAAAAAAATGCTTATGCACTTCCTCTACTCATCTGGCCACTTCTCAGTCTCTTTTGCTAGAATCCACATTATGTCTACCAAAGTTCTCTACTGGGCCCTCCTCTCTTTTTTCCTGTATACTATGTCACTTGGTGATCTCATTAGTTTCCATGGATTCAATTATCATCTCAATGCTTATGATGCTGATGATTCTCAAATCTATTTATCCTTCTCGTCTCTTTATTGATTTCCAGTTCTACGTCACCAACTGCCTTTTGGAGATTTCTGAATGGATGTCCCATAGACATATATCACAAACTCAATATGTCTGAAACTTAATTCATTATCTTTTCCCCCAAATTCTGCCTCTTCTGAACACACCAGTTACTGTTTAGGCTACTAGCATCCTTCTAGTCACCCAAATTCACAACCTCAGTGTTATTCTTTTTTTTAAATTTTTTTCCATTAATTTATTTATTTTTAGTTTTCAGCATTCACATCCACAAGATTTTAAGTTCCAAATTTCTCCCCATCTCACTCCTTCCTCAACCCCAAGACAGCATGCATTCTGAATACACTTTCCCCTAATCTGCCCTACCTTCTATCTCCCCCCCCTTCTCTTATCCTCTTCCTCTTCTATTTTCCTATTTTCCTGTAAGACAGGATAGCTTTCTATACTCCAATGCCTGCATATCTTATTTCCCAGTTGTATGTGAAAACATTTTTAACATTTGTTTTTAAAACTTTGGGTTCCAAATTTTCTTTCTTCCTCCCTTCCTCCCCTCCCTCATTGAGAAGGCAAGCAACTCAATACGGGTTATACTTGTGTAGCCATGCAAAACACTTCCAAAGTAGTCATGCTGTGAAGAACTAAGTATATTTCCCTTAATCATATCCCACCCTCCATTTATTCTATTCTCTCTTTTGACCCTGTCCCTCTTTAGAAGTGTTTGCTTCTGATTACCCCCTCCTCCAATCTGCCCTCCCCTCTAGCATCCCTCCACTCTCTTACCCCCTTTCCCCCTATTTTGCTGTAGAGTAAGATAGCTTTCCATACCCAAGTGAGTATGTATATTATTCCCTCCTTAAATCAAATCCAATGAGAATAAGATTCACTCATTCCCCCTCACCTTCCTCCACTTCCCCTCCACTGTGAAAGCCTTTTTTGGTCTGTTTTATGTGAGATAATTTACCCCATTCTACCTCTCCCCTTCTCCTTTTCCCAGTATAATCCTCTCTTACCCCTTAATTTTATTCTCCAGATATCACCCATTCATCTTCAACTCGCTTTGTGCCATCTATCAGTCTATCTATACATATATTTTTTTTCCCCTCCAACTACCCTAATGCTGACAAAGATCTCATGAGTTACAAATAACATCTTTCCATGTAGGAATATAAACAGTTCAACCTTAATAAGTCCCTTATTATTTCTCTTTCCTGTTTAACGTCTTCATGCTTCTCTTGAGACATGTATTTGAAAGTCGAATTTTGTATTCAGCTCTGGTCTTTTCATCAAGAATGCTTGAAAGTCCTCTATTTCACTGAACATCCATTTTTCCCCTGAAGGATTATACTCAGTTTTGCTGGGTAGGTGATTCTTGGTTGTAGTCCTAACTCCTTTGCCCTCCGGAATATCATATTCCAAGCTGTGTGGTCCCTTAATGTAGAAGCTGCCAAATCCTGTGTTATCCTGGTTGGGTTTCCACAATACTTGAATTGTTTCTTTCTGGCTGCTTGCAATATTTTTTCCTTGACCTAGGAACTCTGGAATTTGGCTATAATATTCCTAAGAGTTTTCCTTTAGGGATCTCTTTCAGGAGGTGATTGGTGAATTCTTTCCATTTCTAGTTTACCCTCTGACTCTAGAATACCAGGGCAGTTTTCCTTGAGAATTTTATAAAAGATGATGTCTAGGCTCTTTTTTTTTTTTGATCATGGCTTTCAGATAGTCCAAGAATTTTTAAATTTTCTCTCCTGGATCTGTTTTCCAGGTCAGTTGTTTTTCCAATGAGATATTTCACATTGTCTTCTATATTTTCATTCTTTTGGTTTTGTTTTATAATGTCTTGATTTCTTATAAAGTCACTAGCTTCCAATTGCTCCATTCTAATTTTTAAGGAAGTCTTTTGTTCAGTAAGCTTTTGGACTTCCTTTTCTACTTGGCCAATTTTGCTTTTTAAGGCATTCTCCTCATTGGCTTTTTGGACCTCTTTTGCCATTTGGGTTAGACTATTGTTTTAAGGTGTTATTTTCTTCAGTATTTTTTTGGTCTCCTTTAGAAAGTTGTTGATTAGTTTTTCATTGTTTTCTTGCATCACTCTCATTTCTTTTCTCAGTTTTTCCTCTACTTCTCTTGCTCACTTCTCAAAATCCTTTCTGAGCTCTTCCATGGACTGGGATTGATTCATATTTTTCTTGGAGGCTTTGGATGTAGGAGCTTTGACTTTGTTGTCTTCTTCTGGTTGTATGTTTTGATCTTCTTTGTCACCAAAGAAAGATTCTATGGTCTGACTTTTTTTTTTTTGCAAAGTCTGTTCATGATCCCAGCCAATACTTGAGTTTTAATCTCTTTGTTAAGGTTGGGGTCTGCATCCAGTGTGGAGAATGTACTGTCCCAAGCTTCAGGGGTTTTGTGCAGCTGTTTTCAGAGATACTTCTAGGGACCTGCAAATTTTCAGTTTTTCCAAGGTAGTATGATCAAGGGCGAGGTGTTTACTCCTTTCCTGGCCTGTGCTGTGGTGTATCAGTGACCACAAGCACTCTTTTCTAACTCCACCATGCCAGATAGTCAGTGGCCAGTACTGAGTCCCTTCAGTCTGATCCTGCCTCCAGTTCTCTCTGCACTTCTCTATAAAGCCTCTTGTACCGGGTCAGAAAAATAGATTAGTAAATAAGAAAGATTTTAACCAGGAAGATCTAAATCATAAAAGGTTATTCTAACTATTAAATCAAATTTAATCTAACTGGAACAAACAATTTCTTGAATTTTTTTTCTTTACCTTTACCACTAACTTATAACCTACATTAAGGTTCTCATAATCACTTTTTATTACAACTGTCCTATAAGGTAAATAGTGTCTAGGCATATGAAGTAGGTAGTACATGTATTATTGTTCGCACTTTACAGAAGTGGGAACCGAGACACAGAGGTGACTTGCCCACCATTATACGGCTATTAAGTATCAGTGAGAGATCTTGAATTAACAGTCAATATTCTTTCCCCTATTCCATGCTGACATTTCTTTTGAAATAATTAAATGAATAAATGAAAAAAATCTGAAAATAGGTGCATGATTAATTTGCCTTTAAATTTTAACTGTAGTTCATTGAAATGAAAGGGAGTGAAAGGATGAGGGGACAGTAAGATGTGTTAATGAATTTTCTTTTTTTCCTCATCCAAAGAATTTAGATTAGAACAGTAGGTTCTTAATGTGTGTGTGTGTGTGTGTGTGTGTGTGTGTGTGTGTGTGTGTGTGTGTTAGACTCTTTTGGCAATCTGGTGAAGCCTTTCCATCTCTTCTCAGTTAGAAATTAGCATATGTGTGTATGTATGCATGTATATGTGTGCGTGTATAGTATATATATATATATGTGTGTGTATACATACATATGTATCTATACATATATACATATACACATACATATATATTCCAATCCAAAAATTCACTGATCCTCTGAAATCTTTCCATGGACCCCAGGTTACAAAACCCTAGTTTAGAAGAAAGAGGCCAATTTTTTTTCCAAGTTTGTTTTTTTGTTTGTTGTTTTTGGCTAGGCAATGGGGGTAAGTGACTCGCCCAGGGTCACACAGCTAGTAAGTGTTATGTGTCTGAGTACGGAATTGAACTCAGGTCCTCCTGAATCCGGGGCCAGTGCTCTATCCACCATGCCACTAAAAAGGCCCCTTTATATATGATATTAGGAGATATGACATGCAATTTCCATCTAAGTTCTGTAAGTAAAATGAAAATCTGTATTACCCATTTTAAATAATTCAAATGAGAGACTTAAAATGTGGACTTATTATTCATATCTTCTTTAGGATGCAAAATAAGACATTATTACTGAATCTAAAATTTTCAAGAAGTACTTAATAACAGTAACCAGTCACCAAATGTGTTTACTGAGTGGATACTGTGGGTGGAATTTTCTTTCGAGTACAAGGGACATGAAGTGATTTTTGCCTTTGGAATGGCACCGTAGAATATTAACAGAAGGGACTCCATTTATTTTCTCTCCAGTATCTTGGTCAAAGTCTCAACTAAAAATTGCAAATTGGAAAATCCTTTGAGAGAGGGATTCAGCAAGTGAAACTGTTTGAAGGTAAGTTTTATACTAGTTAGATGGAATGTAATGAGCCTTTGTTAGAGACCAAGCAGGCAAGTAAGTATTTAAGGCAAGAAGTATGTATGTACAAGCTCTCTTTTAAAGCACCTATTGGAAATCAGGTTCAGAATTTTCCCTGGCATTCTGACATTGACAAAATACCAAGCACATGGATTGATAGCAAAATAAAATGTATTTTCCCAAGAAAGAAAATGAGACTGCAACATGCAATACATAACTCAATATTGGGTTAAGAACAGACTCTGAAACTGGTACTGGAAAGTTGCTACACACATATTTATGTAGATATATAGACATAGATATGTGTGTATGTATTCATGTGTATATATTAATGCATCTATGGATGGGTATATAATGTGTATATGTAAAAACATACATGTATGCATATGTATATAATGTGTACACATGTGTGTGCATGCAGATACCATATATGAATGTGCATATAATGTATACGTGTGCATGTATGTGTATGTGTGCATATGTATGTGTGGGTGTATATATAGCTATATGTGTTTATATATGCACCCACACATACATATGCACAATACATATATACATACACACACATATTTACATATATATATACACACACACACACACACACACACACACACACACACATACACAGAGACAGACAGACAGAGAGTCAGGAAGAAACAGACAGAGACATACACAGAGAGAGTTTAAATTGGCAAAACTTTCCCACATTTACTGGGGAAGGGAGGGAAATAAGGTGAGGGGAAAAAAGGTGTTGTGTCTCTGGTTTTTTCGTAACCATTGAGAGAGTATAACTAACAAGAAAAAGGGGAGTGATGGGAAACCAAAGTCACCCTAACCATAAAGGATTAAACAAATTATTTTATTACCTAAGAGATTTGAAGGGAAAGATCTTTGGTTGTAAGGGACTGTGTTCTCTCAGTGCTTGCTAACCTTGGGGCTGTCGGCTTAGAACTACAAATTGTCTTTAGCTTGAAAAGAGCTTTTTAATATTTAAAATTATTAGTCTATATCATCCATGTAATTTCTTCAGCCATAGGGCTTCAATTCCCTTTGATGTGCATGGAGGTTCCAGCTGATCTGCCTACTACTCCTGCTGTCTCTTAGCCCTAAGAAAAATTTCTGTCTTTGGTAGAACTGGTGCCACTGATTTGTCTTCAATTCCAAAATAGTCTTTTATCCATTTCAATGCAGTGATTCTGAAGAATGTTTTTTTTTGTTCTTTCTTTTTTCCTCTCCTGAGGAGGGAATCCCTCATTCTAATTTGGCCATTTCTCCCTTTTTCTCCTCCCTCTTCCATTCACATTTTTATAAGCAACAAATCTTGATTTTAAAAAAAAAAAGAAAAACCTGCTATAGCCATAGCCCAGAACCTGTAAGTTTCTCTTGTTAGGAAAAGGATTCTTATTCCCTTATTCCTATTTTCAAGAGAATAAAACCTCAAGATCTACTAGCAGGAGAGTAATATATGAAAGAATCTTGTTACTTTATACTGAGGTTGGACCACACAGTTGGACTTTTCCTTGTAAAGTAATTCATTAGCTCCTATTAGATTCTAAGTCAAAAGTCCATCTTCTCCCAACTAGTTGCCAGGCTTCCAGCATAATTAGTGATGATGTCAAATTGATGAATTTGTAGTCCCCCAGGCTGTTCTCTTTTTCTTTTCATAAATGTTTGAATTTGTTATATTCTCAAGTTTCCGTTTTCAAGAAATTGCCCCAACATATACAAGTTTGTGAGTTTTTACATACATATGTGTGAGGAGAGCTTCAGAAGGCATCTGTTCCTGATTGGTAACTGGAAGCTGTCAGAATAGAATATAACAAAAACATTTATTTTATAAAGCACCTTTCATGCAGACACTTCCCAATAGACTACACATTATTCATCTTGATATCTTTTTAAAATGAAATATAGCCAATATCTAGAAACTAATAAGTACAATACCACAAGATTAAACAGATTCTGTAAAATGATTTCAGACAACTGAAATTTTTTTTGAAAAAGTATTCAATGGATAGCAATGAATTTCAGAAGTTAAAATCATAAAGATAAAGTGTTCTTATTCTGTATGACCATCAACAGATCTTTGACAACTCTAGCAATGCCATATCCCAAGAATGAAGAATAGGTGGTAATTACTTTCATAAAATACGAAGGAGCAGGGACTTCAATCTTATAATCCAAATAAAGCCCCTGAAGAACTAGGAGAAGCCTTGAAGTCAATCCTTCAGTTGATGAGAAATCAATGGATAGATAAGATTGCTGTGATAACATGGGCTTGACTTTATTTTGAGCTGGAAAAGAACAGGAACATTTTGCAACCATCTATAGTCTAGAGAGAACACCACTAGGAATGCCAGACAGCAGGCTTTACACTTATCAGTGCTGCAGTGACAAAAGTGTGAAGAAGTCATTCTGCCCAGCAGGCAATGAGTCAAGTATTAATCAGATGATGTGATTAAGAAAGACTTGTGGATATCCTGAAATTCATCAGGAACAAGAGAAGAAGAAAAAAAAATCTCCTCTGTGAATTGCCAAAAAGAAGAAAAGGGGAATAAGACCTAGAATCTTCACAGCAAAGACATGACTACCTAAATATATTTCAAGAAGAATTAAGTATATGATGCTAGTAGCCCAGAACTTAGGTTATAGAAATACCACTGCAACCTTCTGGAAGAGTATATTAATGAAGGACTATTCTCCAACATCTGCCATATCAGTAATCCCATTCAACCTTTCAGTTTGGTGGTATTTCAGGTACTGGAGTGAAATTGACCAGTACGTTTCCAGTTTGTCACCTTTTCCTTTGAAAAATGGAATCTACAGCGTGTCCTTTTTCAGGCTCATTTTTTGCTGTCAGTTTCAGAAATACGTGACAGTATCCATGTATCCATCTTCCGATGACTTTTATTCATGCAGAGGTGTGCCGCAATACCCCAATGAACTGAACCTTAAGACTAAATTCAGAGCTATGCTTTTTTCATGTTCCTGAAGTAAGACACCCATATAGTTACTTCTTCCTTGGTTTTGACTTGCAATCGTGGGAATTTCTTTTAGAGGGAGATTTAGGTACTCATGGAAGCTTAGTTTCAATGAATAATGTGGCCTTTGTTTTATATAACTGTAATGGACTTCAGTTTCCCTGTGTATAACATGAGATTACTAGACTACATGATTGCTAAGGTCACTTCCAGCTTTTTTATTCTGTCTTATAAAATGATCAAATAAAGGAGGGATTCGTGTGTATACTTGTAAAGGAGATCCAGTATGGTGTTGGGGAAAGAACATTTAACTTGGAGTCAAAAAAGAGAAAGACCTGGGAGTTAATACTACCTATTTTATTTCCTGGTTGTGTGACCAAAGGCTCTTGCACTGAACCTTGATTTCCTAATCTGTAAGATGGAAATAACGCTAAAAATATAATATGTACTTCACAAAGCAGTTGTGAAATCAAATGAAATGATGTATATTAAATGTTGTTGCAAACATTAAAGCACTGTGTAAATGGAAGTTACTAGAATTATTATTGCTATTATCTATTTCTTTTTTAGAGTAGTCCTGTGATTTTATCAGGTAGCAATTCTCAAACAATTTCCTTTATTGGCATAGATCCATACATTCTGTTCAATTTATAATTTTAGAGAGTTACCTTGGTTGAAGGCACAGAACCTGGAATCTAGTAGGTGTTTAAGGCACTCTCCTTCAATAACTTCCTTAAGTGACTTCCCAGGGTCAGGATGTCTGTAGTTGCCAGTGGTAGAAATTGAACCCAGGACTTCACTCTGAGGCCAGATTAATATCCACTACGCCATCTTGTGCCTCTTTTATTATTATCATGTTTACATTTGTTTTTCAGGCAGTCATGAGTGTTTCTATCTATTCTTTTCATTTCCATTATACACTCACTGGAGTGTGCTGAAAGCAACTTGTACTGGCTCATGAGAGCCAATTGTTAAATTTACAATCTGAACATTTACACTTTAGAAATCAGTAAATGCTCCAAATCAGAGCTTGATTTATTGTTTTCTTGATTGTCTAGACATAACAAATTGATGGGAGAAATGATAATGGTGCATATTAAATTTACAATTATGTTGTATGTACATTTCTTCCCCTCAGAAAGCTTGTTGTTGAATATTTACCAGCGCACCCCTATAACACTGACTATAATGATATAATCCTGCACTGGGATTCTGACTTCCTCCTACATGAGGGTGTGTTTCATCTACTCATAAAAATAACTCCAATTCATATAGTGCTTTGTTTCATAAAGTACTTTCTTCACAATAACCATATAAACTATTATCTCCATTATAGAGATAAGGAGAACTGAGATTGAGAAAATAATCCATAGTCTTATATGGTCATGGAGGTGTTAAGTATCAGAGTCAGAATTTGAATCCAGATTTCCTTGGATTAAAAAAAAATCATGATTTTATGTCTAGCGACAAGAGACATTAGAGATAATCTAGTCTACTCTTTTACCCACTGCCCCTTCTACGGCATCTCTGACAGGTGGTCATCTATTCTTTGCTAGAATATTTCAGCTGCTAGGAAGCTCATGTTATCAGATGACTTGGGTTCAAATCCTAGCCCTGCCATTTACTACGTGTTTGACCCTGGACAAGTAAATCGCTTCACCAATCTGGGCCCTGATTTTGTCAACCTTAAAATAAAGAAACCGTATCTTCTAGATAATATTTCAGGGTCCTTCCAGATCTAAATCCATACTCCTGTGATATTACCTTAGGGAGTAGCTTATCTTTTGTCTTAGACAGATCTAAAGCATAAGAGAGGTGTGTTCTAATACTTAAGCAAAATACTACCCCACCAAAATTCCACCCAATTTTTTCTAGTTCTATACATAGGAAAAATAGAGAATTAATAGTCAGGGGATTTGTGCAAATCTACCACTAACTACCTGTGAGATCTTTGGCAAGTTACTTACAATTTCTGAGTCTCAGTTTGCTCATCTG